AACTCTGGAGCCAGAAGACACTTGAGCTGCTCGATGCTGCTGTTGATACGATCTCTGCACATCTTCTCCACCATCGGCTTTCTCAGCTGCAAATGAAGACAGAAAAGCATTAGGAAAGTATCTTTCAAATAATCCAATGATTTAGAAGAGCAGTGAAAGCTGCTGCAGTAATGCTGCTGTAAGTAGGATGTGAATGTACCTTGTTGTTGAGAGGGAGAAGCTCCTTTGAGATGATTGTAGGTGTCATGTCTGGATCTCTGTGCTGTAGATCTCTCTGTTCAGAGTGAGTCTGATTTGCACTGGCTGCAGCTCCTCTATTTATACTCCCAAATCTCCATATGAATGTGTGAGGCTTGAGCTTGTTGGAGTTTCTCACAGTTTGGAGCCAATGGAAGAGCTCAAACAGACAATGAGGGATGTGGGCCGCCACATGCTCAATGATCCTCCATCAGGGGCTCAAAGGAGCAGGTGGAGGGGGACTCTGGGAAAGTGCTGAGAGCTCATCTTCACATCAATGTCACTGAAGCAGCACACGCTCATCATTACTAGAAACACGTGGAGTCAGTGAGCACATATGATGATATCAAAGTCATGGCATTCTTAGACATGTGATCTGAATTACTGTGTACTTTATACAAAAAGTGTTTTCATTTGCATTCCATAGTGTAATATCAAGCTAAAATATTATAATATATTCTGTTTATAAAACTATATAAAATAATCTTCTATGCCAAGTCAAGTTGTTACAGTATTATTTGGATACATATGGATTTATTTATGTGTTTGTGCATAAAGATCAACATTTCAAGTCAGATATTTAGTGTCATAATTCACAATATTCTGGATTATCATTGCTGCAGTGACGTCACACACACATGATGGACTCCAGATGAAGCAGATGTGTGTGTGTTTGTGCTGGTCAGTGTGAGTTGATCTCATGTGAGGTTCCCACACTGACTCTCTGTGTTCACATCAATGGAGCACAAAAGCATCAGAGTCCTGAATGGAGCTTTAGTGACGCTGAAGACTCAGTGATCAACCTGACGTCACCAACCATCTGGAGGGAAACCTCCTGATGCACAGCAACATGTCCTGACTTGATGCAGGAGTCAGTGAGTTATCAAACACTTTCTGATCAGAATTATTTTCATGCAATGAGAATATGCAAAAAAATTATTACTGAATACGTGAAACATCACTTTTTGTTTTTATTTTTTAGCAGCAAATAAAATTTGAGTTACATTTGTGCTCATTGTTTGTTTAGATGACAAGTGTCTTTAGCGCCTGATGCAAAAGTTTAGTCATTTTAAAAGCTCAGGATGCATAAAGGAAAATAAACGGTGATAGTGCAGGAATTCTGTTCACGCTGCTGCTGATGACATCATCAGTGACATCATAAAAGCAGCTGGTCAAGCTCATGTATGTAAATATCCAGAAGTGTGTCGACTCTCATGTGTGTTTGTCAAATCTTGAGCTTGTGTTGGGGTTTAGGATGCTAATGAGCTCTGTTCTCCAGAGTTTCCCACACACACAACAATAGAAGTGTGTCTGTTCACATGATAATGAGCCTTAATGCAGGACAGACTCCCTACAAGCTTTCTCACGCCTCTGATGCTGAAGATTTGTTGACTTTTTACATGAAACTGAAGATTTTTTTTTTAATAAAACATTTGATTCTTTTTTTTTTTTTTCATTTTGGACTTATAATATCAGTGAATGAAGTTCAAATAGTATAAAGTCCAATCCATTGATGGGGACCTCTAACCTCTGGTCTCTTAGTTGAGTTCTATTGTCCCTTGGATTTAATTCAGATACAGTGGTAGCCTACTGTACAATTTTCCTCTAGTAAAAACTGTAATAAATGCCATGATGGATGTGGGCTGCCACATGCTGCTTTCTAACAGCTCTTTAAACTGGCTGCTGTCACACACTCCTGGATCTGGTGGAGCCACAGAAACACACGGCTTCCCACACTTCTGTATTCATCACATTAAATCACTCACACAATAAAAGTGTGTCGGTTCTCACAGGACTAACTGGACTTAAGATCATAGACCATCAGAATGCATTACTGTGATTATTTCAGTTGTACATTTTAGAAAAATGTTATTTTTCTTCTTAAATACAAATAATTTTTAAATACACATGTGTAAACACATGTATGAAATTGTATCTAACATTTGTCTCTGACGTTCATATTTTGAGTTGACCATCTTGTGGGAACTTGAAATGTCCTGCGTCCCCACATTCATAAAGATGAATATGAGTGACCTTACTGGCAGATGGCAGTGAGGAGAACATCCCACCGATTCACTCATCAACACACTATTGTTCAAACATCTCAGACTTCTGATTGGCTGAGAGGAGAGCGATGTGAGTATAAATGGAAGCTGAAGATGACAGATCCATGAGACACCAGCTCCTGTGAGGAACCTTTCACACTGAAGACCCTTCGGTCAAAACTGAGCTTCAGCTTCAACACCCGGACCAACAGGAATCAGCATCAGTCATGGTGACCTACATGGACATGTCTTTCCAGAGCAGCATCAAGACTCAACATGTTCAACACGCAAGGTAGAAGAACTTCAGAAACTGGCAGATGCATACAAAGCTACAAACTAAAGCGTTATCTTCTAGTATTTCATTCATTTTTAATATTTTAAATGCACATAAACTGACGTGATTGTGTTGTTGTTTTCAGATGCGTTCTTACGTGTTTGGAGAGAAAGTGTGGCAACAGTTTGGAGAAGCTCAGGTGTGCTCTTGGAGAGTATCTTCAGAACGGCATCCACACCTCAGATCTTCTGGAGAGGGTCGTGTCTTTCATCACCCTCAAAAGAGTTTTACTTTCCCATGACGGCTACTCCAAATACTCCCGTGACATCCTGCGTCTTTTTCCGGATCACACAGAGGATGTAGCAGCGTTATGCTCTGAAGAATGAACATCACATGAGCATCAAGAACAAAAACTCACACAAAAGACTGAACATAAACACATAGAGTTTAAGGTTTCTGAAAATCTTGAACTATAATGCCTTAAATGTAACATTTATCTTCATTTTTTGCTCCTTTGGATTTATATTTCTTTCTCAAAAGAATATTATAATATTTTTGTATTCACAAATGCTCGTTTTATGCATTATATGCATTATTCTTGGCAGTTACACTGCAAAATATTTGAATATGTTTGTAAGTGAATGATACTTTATGCTGCTTTTCATTTAAAACGCATGAAGAAATTTAAACCAGAACTCCTTTAATGGGAGTAAATGTTGTTCTATATAAATATTGTGATTCAACAATCTGATTATTTAGGATGAGGATCTCAAGCCATACAAAGATTTTGTCCAAAATAAAATAAGCTATTTAGTACATTTTACATTGCAGTCTTCTGTTTGGTGAGGGTTTCTTGCTCCATGGCTGGTCAAAAAAAAATGTTTTGCTTGGCATCTTTTAGAGTGGAAACAATTTCATAAATCTGATGAATGTAATGTTCAGAATTATGATCAGAATTAATATTACCATGGCAACAAGAGATGATGAAGTGAACTCATGAACTGATTAATAATCACAGATGTCAATGTTCATTTAATTTGAATTAATTGAGTCTGAGGGAGCTCAGATTTTACAGAACAGAGCTTTGTAAAATCTGAGGGAGTTCAGATTTTAGTGAACAGAATCAACTGAAACAATTGCTTCGCAAAATGATTCATTGTTTTGAAACCCTTGAAACACCACGTGCTGGCAAAACAGTATGAATGCAATGAAAACTCATCCCAAACATGCATAAAACACACTTTTTACAAACCAATTGCAAATATTTCCTTGAAAATGTAAACTATTAAAGGCAAACTGCAAATTATCAAATGTCATCAAACATGAAGTGTTTGTATAATATGAGTTCTTTTATTAATTTGTAACTTGCTATGGAAGGCTTAGCTAATCAGGCTGATAAGAGACAATCAACTACTTATCTTCCTTTTTTATTATACAAATTAAAAATGTCTACATTATAAAACTGATTGAAGGTCAAGTACCATTAAGAAAAACCATATACGCTGGTTCATGGATGCACTGAGATCGCCCTTTAGGGGAGAACCATTGAAATATCGAAATGTTTCGAAGCCATTACCTTTACTGAAATCACATGACCTGATTGAAAACAGTGCTCTTGCAATTTAAATGAAAAGTGTAATTTCATAAAATGTGTTTCACTAGGTGCATGTATACAGATGTGAATATATTTGCATCTAAAGTTAGAGTTGGAATTCAGACGTCATTGTCTGCATTGTCTGACACTCCAGATGTGTGTGTGTTTGTGCTGGTCACCAGTGTTGGGGAAAGTTACTTTTAAAAGTAATACATTACAATATTGCGTTACTTTCAATAAAAAGTAACTAAGTAACGTAATTAGTTACTTTTTTAGGAAGTAACGCAATATTGTAATGTATTACTTTTAAAAGTAACTTTCCCCAACACTGGTGAGCCTTTGGGAGTCCAGTTAGTCCTGTGAGAACTGACACACTTCTATTGTGTAAGTGATTTAATGTGATGAATATAAATGTGTGTGAATCTGTGTGTCTCTGTGGCTCCACCAGATCCAGGAGTGTGTGACAGCAGCCAGTTTAAAGAGCTGTTAGAAAGCAGCTGTATGTTTCATTGAGCATGTGGCGGCCCTCATCCCTCATTGTCTGTTTGAGCTCTTCCATTGGCTCCAAACTGTGAGAAACTCCAACAAGCTCAAGCCTCACACATTCATATGGAGATTTGGGAGTATAAATAGAGGAGCTGCAGCCAGTGCAAATCAGACTCACTCTGAACAGAGAGATCTACAGCACAGAGATCCAGACATGACACCTACAATCATCTCAAAGGAGCTTCTCCCTCTCAACAACAAGGTACATTCACATCCTACTTACAGCAGCATTACTGCAGCAGCTTTCACGGCTCTTCTCAATCACTGGTTTATTCGAAGGCCACTTTCCTGATGCTTTTCTGTCTTCATTTGCAGCTGAGAAAGCCGATGGTGGAGAAGATGTGCAGAGATCGTATCAACAGCAGCATCGAGCAGCTCAAGTGTCTTCTAGCTCCAGAGTTCCTCAAGCAGCAGCCTGATTCCAAGCAGAACAGGAGGGAAAGTGTCCTGCCAGACCAGAAGACCTTCAGCAAAGACATGAATGTCAACAAGAGCGCCATCTGGAGGCCTTGGTAGAGCCTTAAAGACTCAGACTGAACATCTACACTAGACTCAGACTATTACGCTTTTAGTTTCTCTTTTTGAGAAAAAGTGTTTCAGTTTGGAAGAGATATTTGCACTGCTAAGTGCTCTGATGATTCGATCTTCTATGAAGATTTAATGTCAAGCGTTCCAGATGGGAACATTTACTAACGTCTGTATTAGACAACTTTGACTTTTACATTCTTCGTGTGATGTAAAGCACACATTTTCTTTATTATTTCAAAGGCCATTTATAATCTGAGAACTACTCTGATACTGAAGCTTTGTTCTAAAAGCTGATAAAGAGAGAGAATTTACACAGCATGTTATGTGAAATGTTCTAATTTCTTGATATGAATGTGATGGCAAACATCTTGCTCCATTATTAATTCTGTGCTGTTTATATAAAGTGGCTCAATATGGGCCCATATTTGATTTCATCTGAGATGATAATAATTCATACTCTTTGATTCATATTTGATCTTTTCTCTTTGGTCTATAATAGATCACATTCAGATTCACCTTGTTTTAAGGGTTTGTAAACGTTTGTTGGTTCTCAACGTTCTGTGAATCTTTTCCTGTACTGTATACGTCTGTAAAGGTTTATATTCTCATGACTAATTTCTGTCATGTTGGAATTTGTCATTTTAATTGATCATGTGATCATTTGTGTCCTTCTGTGAAGGTTATTGAAGTTTTAAAAGACTAAATCAGTTCAGTGAATGTATTTCTGCTGCGAAATAAAACAATCAACTGAACGTCTGACATCTGTGATTATTAATGGCATTATATCTTAAATCCCCATCTCACTTTGTTTTCCATGTTTTTCCCACAAAATCCAATTCAAAAATACACACTCTCATGACACACATTCAATCACAATCATTTCTTCAACACTCACACCCAACATTTCACTCTATAAACTGAAGGTTTTTAAGGCTCTCGTTAACCTGTATCACTAATTAATTAGCCCATTAGTGGGATGCACATTGCAAACAGCACCATAAGAGAGAGAAATCTCTGTAGCTTCAGTGTTGAAGAGTAATTAGCTGGTGAAGTGCATTTACTTGATTTTCTTGAAAGTTATCATGAGAATTGTAATGTTCAAAGCGGATGTCAAATGTCAGTAGACCGCGAAGATTTTAAAGGTCCCATATTTTACACCTTTCTGGAGTTTTATTTTAGGTTTTGATGTCCTTAAGAATATATATTTGTGGTATAAGTACCAAAAACCATCTCAATATATTTTTACAGCTCCTCTCTCAGGAGCTCTGCTGAGAACAGGTCGATTTTGGCCTGTCTAATTAATATTCATGAGCCTCTCTTCTGATTGGCCTGTTGTTTTCTGAGTGACGCACGGGTTCTTTCATAAATTTGAACCACCTCACCTTCAGTTGCGGAAATACCATAGAAATACACACGGAGCACAAAACGCAGCACTGAAAATGGGCGGAGCCTCATAAGGTCTATAAACGAGCCAATCGCCAGGTGGTAAAGTCGTCGCGTCATTGCTTTTGGACATGTGTATTCACTGGAACAACCTGAAATGAAAGCTTTTTTTTTAACTCTGAGCATAAGAAACAAAATTTATGGGATAGTTCTTGAGTGATATTTTTGCGGTGTTTATTTAAAATGTTTGTGTATTTAAGTCGAAATTTCTGTTTAAAGTTTTTACAAAGCAAAAAATAATTTCAAGACTGTATAGATATGTGTTGTTGTGAGAACTTTTTATTAGGATTACATTCTGTCTCATCCTTTAAAGATGCTAAACAAATTGAACACATAGGCTAGTATATTTTGTATTTAGCAATCTGACTGGTTATAGAGCAGGAACAACGTTCATAACACACATCAAATAAGACAATGAATGGACATTGCAGTAAAAACATACTTTTATTTTCTATCTTTTCAAGCCATTATATGGCTTGAGGTCATTGTTGCATCACAATAGAATAACATTTTTACTCCCATTAAAGGAGTTTTGGTTTAAATCTTTTCATGCTAAACAAAAAAACAGCATAAAGTATAATTCACTTACAAACACAATTGTTAAAATATATCGCAGTGTAACTGCCAAGAATAATGCATATAATGCATAAAAACTGAGCATTTGTGAAAACAAAAATATAAAAATATTCTTCTTTCGAGAAAGAAAGAAATTCAAATGTAAAAATCATTAAGGCATAAAGTTACATATACAAAGTTAAAGGCATGAGAGTGAGAGCTTTTCAAGAAGATTAAGTCTTCTTATGTTCAGTCTTTCTCATAAGAGTCTTTTGTGTGAGTTTTTGTTCTTGATGCTCATGTGATGTTCATTCTTCAGAGCATAACGCTGCTACATCCTCTGTGTGATCCGGAAAAAGACGCAGGAGGTCACGGGAGTATTTGGAGTAGCCGTCATGGGAAAGTAAAACTCTTTTGAGGGTGATGAAAGACACGGCCCTCTCCAGAAGATCTGAGGTGTGGATGCCGTTCTGAAGATACTCTCCAAGAGCACACCTGAGCTTCTCCAAACTGTTGCCACACTTTCTCTCCAAACACGTAAGAACGCATCTGAAAACAACAACACAATCACGTCAGTTTATGTGCATTTAAAATATTAAAAATGAATGAAATACTAGAAGATAACGCTTTAGTTTGTAGCTTTGTATGCATCTGCCAGTTTCTGAAGTTCTTCTACCTTGCGTGTTGAACATGTTGAGTCTTGATGCTGCTCTGGAAAGACATGTCCATGTAGGTCACCATGACTGATGCTGATTCCTGTTGGTCCGGGTGTTGAAGCTGAAGCTCAGTTTTGACCGAAGGGTCTTCAGTGTGAAAGGTTCCTCACAGGAGCTGGTGTCTCATGGATCTGTCATCTTCAGCTTCCATTTATACTCACATCGCTCTCCTCTCAGCCAATCAGAAGTCTGAGATGTTTGAACAATAGTGTGTTGATGAGTGAATCGGTGGGATGTTCTCCTCACTGCCATCTGCCAGTAAGGTCACTCATATTCATCTTTATGAATGTGGGGACGCAGGACATTTCAAGTTCCCACAAGATGGTCAACTCAAGAATTATGCAGTTACAGCTATCGTAAATAAATGCACAGGACATATGCTCTGGAAATCTGTCTTAAGGCAATGAAAAATGTAAAGAATTATACATTTCAGCAAAGGTTTACATTCCATTTCTGTCCCTATAGTGTGTAACGATTGAATTTCAAAGACATGAAAGGCAAAGGCAAAAAAGTAAATCTACAATTTTAAGTTTAGGCTTAAAGAAATAGTTCACCCAAAAATTATGAAAATTTACTCACCCTCATGGACATCCAAGATTATTATTATTTTTTTGTTCATTGGAACAGATTTAAAGAAATGTAGCATCACTTGTTCACCAGTGGATCCTCTGCAGTGAATGGGTGCCGTCAGAATGAGAGACCAAACAGCTGATACAAACATCACAATAATCCACAAGTAATCCACACCACTCCAGTCCATCAATTAACATCTGTGGAGTGAAAAGCTGCGTGTTTATAAGAAACAAACCCATCATTAAGACATTTTAACTTAAAAGCATTACAAGTCTACAATCCATAATAACACTTCCTTCAGTGAAAAATCTCCTGTTGTCTCTCACATCAAAATCCACCCACATATTTGTTTAGAGCTGTTTCGGACTGTTTTTGCTTGTAAACTGTGTTTGAACTGTGCAGATTTCTCTCCTGATTCAGACCAGATAACTTTTTAACTGGAGGAAGCGTTATTAAGGATTATGGACTCGGATTATTATAGTCGGAAGCAACAGTTTGAAGTTAAAAACATCTTAATGATGGATTTGTGTTTTACAAACACGCAGCTTTTGGCTTCATAAGACGTTAATTGATGGACTGGAGTGGTGTGGATTATTGTGATGTTTTTATCAGCTGTTTGGAGGATGAAGCTCACGCATGTATGTACAGTAAATATCCAGAAGTGTGTCGACTCTCATGTGTGTTTGTCAAATCTTGAGCTTGTGTTGGGGTTTAGGATGCTAATGAGCTCTGTTCTCCAGAGTTTCCCACACACACAACAATAGACGTGTGTCTATTCACATGATAATCAGATGGACAAATAGGCCTACAATTAAAACCCCAAAGGTTGCATTTACGAATGCCTTCCCTGATGCATTTCACTGAAATTACTTGAAGCACGTCTGTGCAGTTATTAAATTATTTTAAATCAAACAAAATGTGCATCAATTTAATAAATCATTTAGTCTACCCATAATGGATTTAACCACCCTTCAATCCCAGACTTCAATTATAATTTCAAATCTTGCAGAGCATATAGTATACTTCTAACTTCAGAAAAACAATTATTGCAGCCTATCATCATTAAAGCTTCTGTGTGACAGACAGCAAAGGTGATTCAGTGTTTGGAAACCACATTAGTCCTGTGGGAACCGACACACTTCTATTGTGTGAGTGATTTCATGTGATGAATACAGAAGTGTGGGAAGCCGTGTGTTTCTGTGGCTCCACCAGATCCAGGAGCGCTGGGGCGAGTGATCGGGGTCCACATTGTGCCATGAACCAGCTGTGTGTGTGTGCGTGTGAAACACAAACCACAGAACTCATAGAACAGCTGCTTCACCAGAATATCCTGTTACACTGACCTAAAATACTGTGTTTCATTACAGCATTTTAACTGATTATAAACTGCAGCCGCATGTGCTGATTTTATTCACAAACAATTAAACTCCAGGAGAAACATGTGTTTGTATAAATGCACACATAAAAGAACGTATGCATTTATATTCTTTTAAAAATGTCTTTGCTTTGCACATTTTTATGATAAATACTGATGTGTTGTTTTTATGAAGGCATGCAGTGTTATTTGAGAGGAAATGAAATCTCAGTATGGCACGTGTTTGGTTATGACATTGCTTGAGTGACATTGATGTGAAGATGAGCTCTCAGCAGTTTCCCAGAGTCCCCCTCCACCTGCTCCTTTGAGCCCCTGATGGAGGATCATTGAGCATGTGGCGGCCCACATCCCTCATTGTCTGTTTGAGCTCTTCCATTGGCTCCAAACTGTGAGAAACTCCAACAAGCTCAAGCCTCACACATTCATATGGAGATT